TACAATGCAAGGATTCGGAGAGAAATACGGATACTTCTACTTTGTTGGATTTTTGCGTTCTTAAGTAAGTTCGAGTTCTAGTGTGGCTTTCCGATGAATCTTCACTGTTTGGGTATGACTTTGTTTCGTACGTTTGATCTTTCGATCTATAGTTTCGATTTGTTCTACCGTGGGGTTCAAACTTTCATTGATTTCGGTCTTAACGAAGGAATTACTAGGGTTTCATCGAGTAGATACTCCTTAAGGACAGAGACGTGGGATACCGGATGGATGCTGCTAGGTCCTGAGGGTAGTCGAATTTTATAGGTTATGGAATCAATCCTAATGAGGATTTCGAAAAGTTCTATGTTCCTTGGGATACGCGTTTCAGAATGTAACACGCCATCTTTCTCATCGTTGGCTACCTTGATGATGGACGTTTCAATTACTAATTGAGGACTATGTTTATGAAGAGATTTGAATGAATAGTTAATAGTTTATCTTTCAGGACTAGAATTGAAAAAGGATTGCAGGTAGAAGGGTTGTCGAAAAGGAATATACCTGAGGCAACTGTGGGATCGGCGGTTGTCTCACCTTGTCCTATAGCTAGGACTCTTCCAGTGTTGCCAGTTGTTGCTGCATTGGGGCAGTTTCTCTTATAATGCCCGACTTTACCGCAACCATAACAGGCCTGACTGATGCCCGCTCCAGAAGCTTGATTTGTTGGTGTTCTGCAACTCCGTGCAAGGTGACCCTCTTGGCCACAATTTTTGCAAAATTTCACACGATAAGGACTAGGGATGTAGTGGTGATAACTGCACTGGTTACACAACGGGAGAACACCGGCATATCCGGTGATAGGTGCTTGGGCTGGGAAACCTATAAGAGAAACAATAGCAGGGGTAGTGGCAGCGTGGACCGCCACCATCTGTTGTTTCTTTGAGAAATCTTGTCAAGGCTGACATTTCTCCCCCGTCTCCCAATACTTTCTTTTCTCACCACTTCTTTCTGACGGCTCAAGAGTGGTGGTTGCTTCCTCTACATCCTCACTATGGTCAATCAAGATTTGTGCTAGGCATTTGGCGCTATCGTATGTATTTGGCTTCGCAGCTAAAACGTTCCATTTGGTTGGCTGGGTCAACCCCCAGATGAACCTCTCTACCTTTTTGCTTTCCGGGATAACCATTCCCGAACAAAGAAGCGCCAAGTCGTCAAACCTGGATGTGCAGGCGGCGATATCGGAACCTTTCATCTTCAGGTTCCAGAGTTCATGCTCCAGCTTCTGAATTTCACCCCGAGGGCAATACTCTACGTGCAAAAGTTACTTTATAACTTCCCAACCTATAGCATTGGCTACAGGTAGAGTTAGGGATTTGACTCGGCCGTTCCACCAAGTCAGGGCTTTGTTGGTGAGAGTGCAGGCGGCAAACTTCACCTTGTCGGATTCTGAACAAGCACAGATCTTGAAGATAGATTCGATCTTCTCCGACCACCGAGTTAGAGCTATGACACCTCCTATGCCATCGAATAATGTGGGTTTTGCGTTCATTAAGTCTTTATAGGAACACTCCTTTCGGTGTCCCTGGCCACCTTCTTGGTTTTGAGGCTCGGGACCACCTCCTGAACTATCGAGGTTTGTTTGAGATATGGCTGCTGCTACTGCAGCAGTAAAAACTGTCTGAAGGGTTACCTTATCGATTTGAAGAGAAGGTGGTGGTGGAGGAGGATTGTTGTTGGTCTTTGAGGTGGGTCTCTTTCTTGGAGGCATCTTGATCTAATAAGATCAGGAAAGAGAGGATGCTAAGTCCTCCGAATTGAATCAAGAGATATGATACAAGGGATATCTCTTTATGACAGACATAGAATTCTATTAAGCGATAAAGCAGGAAGGAGTTATCAAAACAGATAAATTATCGCTAAAGGAATGATTGAGGAGCAGCACTGGGATGAGGATTTCTATAACAGATTTGGCTAGAGAAATACTCCCATAGTATTTCTTGTCTCGCTGCAACGACGGGTTATTGTTTGGGTATTGGGTAAGTTTTAGGCATGCCGCACACCACAGTCACTCCCAAGCACATGTTGGCCGTGTCTTGAATGAATATAGTTGGCCAGGCTATATTGATCCTAGACATGACTACATAACTGCCCAAATTTAATCGCAGCATACAACACCCATTTACTTATGTTTTGTTCTACTTGTAGTTACGGATTTCAACGGTTGGGTATACTTGTATACTTTTGAAAATACTTATATTTGAGGTATACTTTTAGCTCAGAGCACATAGGCCCTTTAGTGTTTATAGTTTAGTACCATGTAAGGTTTTGTATACTAGTTCACTATAAACAAGGGCTCTGATACCAATCTGTCACACCCCGAAAACCTAAGGCGGAAACATTTCCGGGGCGGACTCCACGTTGAGTATCAAATCCAATACACATAGTAAGCAAAGTAAACAACCATTACATTACATATTAGAATTTACATATGTTCAAAAGTAACATGTTACAAGTGTTATACATATATATGAACAAAAGTAGAGTCGAGTCTTCTGTACGCTCCGTCTTCTCCAAAAGGATTGCTAGGTACCTGTCTAATGTTGACCTGAGAATTCAATCAGTTTGAAAATCAGCATAAAGTTGGTGAGTTCATAAGATGTTTGTTTTCTGAAAATGTACGAGTTTCCTTTGGTTTTCCGAAAAGTTTGTTATCCAAGAAAATCCCATATTTTCTTATATGTAAAGTTTGGTTAACTGTTTTATTACACAAATCTGGTTATGAACAATTGTTATCCTAGGAAAATCCTATATTTTCCTAAAAGTAAGTTTAGTTATTGAATTTCGATGTAATGTTTGATCACCTTTCGTACTTGTTATATTAGCCATGTATTATGATATCCTAATGGTGTTACACTTGAATGTACCTAGACGTGTGCCTTCGTATTCGTATTTCTATTCTTAATTAAATTCATATTTATATTTGTAGTCCTATTCCTATTCGTACTCGCATTCGTATTCGTATTTTGACTCCTAATCCTAATCCTATTCGTATTCGTGTTCGTATTCGCATTTGTATTCGTATTCGTATTCGTATCCCTATTCCTAATCGTAATACTATTCGTATTCGTATTCGTATTCGCATTCGTATTTGCAGTCGTATTCGTATCCCTATTCCTACTCCTAATACTATTCATATTCGTATTCGCATTCGTATTCGCAGTCGTATTCGTATCCCTAATCTTACTCCTAATACTATTCGTATTCGTATTAGTTCTAAATGCTGATTAGTATGAATTCTTCGTAGATTATGAAACATAATTTAGATTGTAACATTTTATCAACAAAATCTATGATTAGTCTGAAAGCTAACTTCATAATTCGAACTATTTGATAAACACAGTTTTTGATATTAGAACATACAGAATGAAATCAATTGAAATGATAATAATAAGTTGGAGTACAAGATTTCCTTGTACTTTTTCTTGTATTCCCCCTGACAACAGTGAAAAAACATTTGAAAAAGGGTAGGGGTATGAACTCACCGGTTGAGGAACGCGTCGATTTGGATCCTAAACGTCAGTTCTGGGTTTGCAAACGCACAATATCTCTATTTATTATGACATGATACATATTTGTATTTAATTAGTACTTGATTAATTTATTTTCTAAGGACATACACATCTAGTTGCGGAAACACCCCATTCAAGCGTTTGGAGGGACTCGGGTGACATATGGGGACACATGAGGCTTAGATATTGAGTTTACTCTTCAAGAGTAAACTCATACAAGAGTTTTCAGCCCTATATACCTCATCCACATGAGTTCACGGCTATGAACTCATGGATGGTGATTTTGGGTGCAAAATGGCTTCATAACACTCGGGAATAAATGCTAGACTTGGATTTTTGGCTTTGGAATGGATTAAAACTCACATAGGGACCATTTATTAGCGTTTACGGTAGTAAACATGGAGTTTAAGGCCATAAAGTCCCCCTCACTCTAAGTCCTTGTTGATTTGGGTCCTTAATCAATCACATGTGATTCCAATTGATTTTTCCAAGCCTTGTATGGATTTTTGGGTGACTTTTGGCATGTCTTTAGGAGTTTACGGCCCATGATTCCTCCTATGGCTGTGAACTCCTTATGGAGGGTGTTTTAATATGATTTAGGCTTCTAAATTGTTTGTGGACACTTCTAGAATTTATCCCAAGGCTTAAGGTGTGTTTAAACGGCAATTTAACACTTAAACATGAGTTTACTCTCCATGATATAGAATTTACAGCCCAAGCATGTTCTTGGGCAGTAAACTGATGTTTACTCCTCTAAATTGATGTTCAAGGTGTTCCAAGGCCAAAACCAATATTCTACGAGTCATATCTAAGCCCCAAAGGTCGATTGGAAGGGTTTAAAGGCTCAAAACCCCATTTTATATGTGTTCACGGCCCAATGGTGTTCCAGGGCCGTAAACACATGATTTTGGTCCTATACCATGTTTTGAACTCGAATTTGAAGGTCTAAGATGCTTTACTAAGACTTAGGGTGGTTACCTTGAAGATTTGGGGCTTGAATTTGGTGTTTTTGGACCTTAATCTTGAGTTAGAGGAGAGAGGTTAGAGGGAGAGAGAGAGAGTAGTGAGAGAGAGGAAAGGCTTCAAATGAAGTCTTTTGAGCTTTAAATAGATCATAAGTTTGGGACACGGTGGAATTCTACCCGATACCGACGTTAAACGGGGTTTTGGTCGCACCCAATTAAGTTATCATAACCTGGCTGAATAAAATTTGGAATTTTTCAATTTAATGATTTTGGTCGATGTTCATGAGTTTATAGGGGATTTGAACACTCATGAGATTTTAATAACATATAAGTTTAAATAACTAAGCCCAAATACGGAAATCGGAACGAATCGATATAGACGGGTTCTTCGGACGAAATGGGTTTCGGGGATGGACAACTTCGGGTTGTCACAGCCTTATCAGTAGAAGCATCACTGGTTTTAGCTGCTTTTATCCGGCCTATTAGTAGAAGCATCAGTGGTTTTAGCCCTTTTATCGGGCCTATAAGTAGAAGCATCAGTGGTTTTAGCCCTTTTATCGAGCATATAAGTAGAACGACCACGAGCTTTATCACTAGGAGCTCGAGCACTAGTGTCATTCGAAGTGTCATCCTCATCATCATCTTCTCGGCCATTAAAAGGGTTGCCATCAATCAAAAGTCTTTGGACACGACTAGAAGAAGATGATGTATCTGCGGATGCAGTTTGCGTAGAGATCCAATTAATGCTACTGCTGGCACTACTTCCATCAAACAAAGATGCACAAAGGTTGGGATAATGCAATGGGTGTGTCCTAAATGATCTTGCCTTTGGATGACCCTAAACCAATATTAATAGTAGTTATAAGTATTTTCACATCATTATTAAAATTGGACATAAATTACAAAAATTATATTATATAGATACACCTTCTTGAATTCTTCCTATTCTGTGTTCATTAAGGCAAATGAATTTGTTTGAGCATTGTATAAATTCCCTGACTTGTTTCTCAAATATTTCCACCCTATGTATTTAGCTTTTAGATTATCAAAAGCATTTTTCAATTGTTATTGTGTAGTATGCATGTCAAACTTTTCTTTTAGAGCTTTCCCTAATGTAACCCAAGACTCCTTGTCCATGCTACCTCTTTTTCTACCAATTTTGTTGACCTCTTCGATACACGTATCTAATAAACATTTTACTTGCTCATTCAACCATTGTAGTTTGTCTCCAATTTAGACAAGCTATATATAATAACTTTATAAATTAAGTCCATGAAAGAATCGGCTTAAAATTTAAAAATAAAAAACTTCATGATTCATATTTATGGATTACAACATGTTAGACAAACAATATAAAATAGAAACATTTGATGCAAATGAATCTAAAGTTGATGACAAATAACATGATGTTGATCAAGAAACAAAATTGAATAAAATCACTACACTAGAAGTATGTAACAAAATCAATAACATTGAGAAATCAACAACATTAAGAATGCATTCTTTGATGACATCAAATATTTTGGGTTTTAGGTAAAACAAATAAACTAGAAAACAATTCCTAAGTTCACATGCAACCTATTTTGGATCTATGTTTTAACTATTGAACATATAACATTGATTGCAAAACAAGAACCCTAATGAGAGAGGCTATTTTCGAAATTAACCATTTAGGGTTGAAGAGTTACATAACTTTCAATTGTTATAGCAAACAATTGGTAATCCTTTTGATCTTGATCTTCATGGAAGCTTAACACCACAAATTTAATGCCTCTAATGGAGTCACACCCAAAAGCTAGCAAGAATGTAACTTGAAGGAGAGAGAGAGAGAAAGAGAGAGAGACAGACAGAGAGAGAGAGAGAGATAGAGAGAGAGATTAGGGTATGCAATTTTTGGCCGTAGGGTTTCTTCAAGGAAGGAGTGACCGATTTTAGGTGCCAGAAGGCACTTTATATAGGTAAGGGATCTAGGGTTTAGGGAAAACCCTAATGTTCCTTTTCTTGGGGCCTAAGCTTATCTAAAGGCCTTATCCAAGCCCCTTAGACGAAATCATTAGGGTTTCCCCTATAGATTTCGTCCACCCCCTTGCAAGGAGGTTCTGGAACCTTCCACTCAACTATTTGATAATTGCAAACTAGTCCTTGTACTTTATAATTAATACATTTAACCCCGAAACTAATTCTAATTAATTTCTGGCTAACTATTAATTAAACATTATGATTTCTAATTAATATATTAATCTTTTAACATATTAATAAATCATTTATATTAATTTATTAACCTTATATTAAATCAATATCTCTCCTTTTATAATTTTCTTATCCAATTGCTAGGTTTGAGGGCAACCAAAAGGACTGTGTTGTTATCAATTCAAGTACATACTAATTATAGTTATGGGCTTAGACACCTAATCCAACAAAATATACTCATTTTCAAGTATAGACTACAACATTCTAATGCAGTCAAGTTTCATTGTTATGGGAATTGATCATATTCTGATCAGAACATCACATACTTCATATGTTTAAAGGTACTCTACTTATGTCAAATATGTATACTAATTTTCAATCTTAAAAATATACGGTCTACCTACGAAATTCAACACCAAGTTCATATCCCTCCCATTATTGCCATTAGAAATCAAATGGGTTTTCAGAGTTTCTCAAAATTCTTAACAATTAATCCCGTTTTGATTTTAAGATTGATTTCAAAACATAAAGGTGGGAAAACTAGAAGTTATTTAAGAAATCAACAACATTGAGGTTTTTATTTGACAAAATAGTAGATGAGATTTCACTGTTAATGGAGTCTAAAGTGATATACAAGTTGAGAAGAGATAAGAAAAGAAAAACCAGGAAGAAGATAGAAGAGTCGCTTAACAGAAGAGCTATGAATAGAATGATGAAGAGAGAGGGAACGATACCTGATAAGCCGGCGTGGTGACCTGGAGCAGCGGAGGCTGAGCGAGACTGACGTGCGTTGGAGGTATCGACTGCTGTGGAGAGATCATTGATGTGGGAAGATGCACTCGTGAAAGGGGGGAAAGATCGGATGGGGATGATGGTGGTGAAAATGTATTCCACGATTAAAGGAGGTATTATTAGGTCTTTCCCGAAAACTGATGAAAAAGGCTTTTTGGGCTTTTTTGTCTTCCAGAAAACAAACAATATTTTGGGTAAATGTCTACCTGCCGGCAGATGAAAGAGCCCAAAAAGTCTTTTTTTTTTCTAAAAAAAATGAGCCCTTATTGATCTTGAAAGGTTTCAAGAGTCCATCGACAATAAACCTTTTAGTTATCACTAGCGCACGGCCTGAGACTGATAACCTATCATGTTAAGTTGACAAATTCTTGTGTCTGTGCATCTTCCTGTTGACTTGGCAAAGCTTATGAGTTCTATGGTTTTCATTTGACTGCAAAAGGCAGAGCGTGTTGGCCAGTGATAGTACATTGATCAATATGGATGAGCTGCTTAACAACTTGGAAGCATTGGTAGGCCCTTGTGCTGCTAGAAGGCAATAAGCAATGTTCATTCCATGAAAGGAAAACAAAATTTGATTTTGGGCTTTTGTCCTCAACCTTATCCTATGATTGTAGGTTGTAAGTGAAAAATTCATATGGATGGGAACACACACACACACACACCATAAAATCTAGGTGGCAACAGGTTTCGCTCTAATTCATGAAACTGACTATGAGGAAACATTTTCATTAGTAGAATTTAAATCTAATTAATATCATTATGATTAGCTGTTATGATAATTGTGTTCTCAAATTTGAATATGATTACGTCACCCCTTTTCATAGTTCGAATTGTGAGAAATGGCAAGAAATAGTTTGAACATTTAGGACTTATAGCTATAAGCTCTGAAAAGGTTTAAACACACACATACACTATCTCATGAAGCTATATGAGCTTGAGAAGTCTAGTTGAAGACTTATGGAAGCATTACGTATCAGAAATATGTACTTTAGTAAGAAGGTCAATAACATTGATTTCTAAAAGTCCACTTGATTTTTGGATACATTTCAAAGCTAGTTGGAGAATAATTGTTATTCTAGTTGGAGCATAGTTGTTATGCTAAGTGTTGCAAGTTGGCAATACTAGTTGTAGGAAACAATGATTTCAAAATTTCCAAATTGCAAAGTTTGGATATTGTTTTGACACAAAAGGATTTTGAGGAGAAGGAATTTATACTTCGTTTCAAATCTAAAGGTTTAGATTGAAGGATTCTAATGGAACTTAGTCATAAAGATACATGAATATGGTGTTGAAGTGATTCCACATAGGAAATTTGATATATTGAAATATTATAACAAGAGACTAATCAAGTATCACGTCTTTATGTGAGAGATTATGAATTAAGTCCATTATGCTTCAGAAATAGGATCGATTTCACATGCTATAATATTCACTTGTTTTAATTTTGCAGATGCCTAGAACAAGATGTGAATAAAGTTGTTAAACAACTGTCAAGAACAATCTGAGGTTTACAAAAAGATTGGTTACTTATGGACAGGTGGAAGTATGATATTGTATGGAAGGACCATACATACATAGTTCTGAATGGAGATGAATCATTATCAGAATTGGTAGTCATATGGGAATATGAAAATGTTTCCATAATGGGAGTTGGTTATTTAAATCTACATGTGAGTTAGAAACTTTAATGCAAGGAAGGTGTTCCAGAATTGTATCTTGAATTTGATACTTCGTTACCATGAAATTGTTTTAGTAACAAAGTTTTAATGGAGCATTATGTGACATCGTTGGCTAAGTCTCGGTGATGTCACGTCATCACAAAAGCGATATTGCATGCAAGGTTAGACTCTAACATATTTAGTAGTGACAAGAATTTCGAATTCTTACATATATAATAAGGATATGGAATTGTGATATAAGCATCATTGGAATTATGTACAATTGATCAGTTCACAAAAGAAGAACTATAAAGGAACATAGTATGCATGTTTAGACATGACATGACTAATGTTTGATTTAAGTATTTAGTTGATTAATCGAAACATTATACATTAATCAAGTCTAATTAATATGGTGATTAAATAATAAGTGTTTTATTTATATTCAATAGTTTTGAGACCATAGTGAGTTAGGTTATTATTGTGTTTCAATTCACATGTTTTACTTCTAGAATAATTAGATTATTCAAACATCCACAGTCGATCATGCTTTTCGAAGTATGTAGTGAATTAAGACTGTCATGAATCAGACTGTAGATTGTCTAAAGGGTTAGACATAGCATTGGTTTACTGCAGTGTTCATGAGTACTTTTGAAATATGGATTTAAGTATTGGATTAACCCATGCTCAAAGAATTACTTCATGGATTTTATCATGAGTAATTTTGAGACAATAATATCTTATATTCTTGAAACAGAAACATATGGGTTGTTGTTTTTCAGTCAGTTGTGCATTGATAATACGTAAATACATCAGTAATTTGATGTTATAAAACGTATTGTTGTGCATGATTTGATGAGTAAATAGTGCAAGCATATGAGTCAAAGTTTATCCACTCCTTTTGCCCTTAACGGGAAAAGGCGATATATGTGGGCCCCTAGATGATTTGGTGATGACATTTAAAGCGCTTGGCCAAGCCTGGACTGAATTGATGTGTTCAATTAGTAGTCTAATATCAGTCGTTATGAATAAAAAATCAGGAAACAACATTTGGATAGAGAGAATGATTATAATCCATGTCTCATGTTCATACGATATCTTGTAGAATGAAGGAATATTTGATCACTTATCTAAGGACACAGGTCTGAATAGATAAGAGTTCGACAACGGATTTGAGAGCTACGATTGCTTGTCAAATGTTGAATTCATACTTGCAACTATAGTTATTTGACTTATCCAAGTAGGAGACTGTTGGATTAGGTGTCTAAGCCTATAACTATAATTAGTATGTATTTGAATTGACAGTGGCATGGTCCTTTTGGGTTGCTTTCATACGTGCAACTAGACATGATGATTAATTGAGAAAGAGGAATAATTTATTATTTGGAATAATAAATTGAAATAAATGATTTATTATTGTATTATGGAAATCATATATTAATGAGAAATCATATTATTAATTAATATTTAATTAGAAATTAATTTGGAATTAAAGGAATTAATTAATAGTGCAAGGGCTGCTTTGCAATTAATTAATAGTTGTGGTTTGGGCTCTTGGATCACTTCAAGTGGGGTTGGCCGAAATTTTAAAGGGAGGCCCTTAGAATTTCATCTAAGGTCTTAAGTTGGTGGATCCATGGGCTGCTTGGGGCCTAAGTTAGAAATCAGGGTTTCCATTTAGCAACCCTAGCTTTGGGGCTAAGCAACCTAACTATTTAAGGAGCATCACCCTGCATATTTCGGCCACTCTATCCTAAGAGAAGAAAGCTGAAATTTCTACCTCCTTCCTCCTTCTCACAACCATCTCCTTGCATTGTGTGTTTGTGAGCTAGTAGAGATGTGACGCTTGTGACACTAAGTTCTCAAAGTTCAAGATCTACAATGTTTTAGATTGTTATTACAATATAACAATCAATATATGTATTATGATCCTAATTGTGTGAATTTCTATTATTATACATAGAACCTAGGGTTTCTTTTTTGTGTTCAAAGTTTTCATGTTCAACTAGATAAAACTTAGATCCAATCAATTTAGGATTGCATGGACACATAGGATATGTTGTTATGCTTAAAACTTATCAAAAGGAACATAAAACAACCTAATATGAGATTGAAAGATATAATGAACAAGGTTGAGACTTTATACCTCTTCAAGGTCAAATATGATATATGAATCCTAGATCGATGCCAAAGCCAAGCTTCAAATCAACAAGATGGACTCCTTGTTCCAAGCTTCAAAAAATGGCTTCAACTCAGAAAACACACACAAAGAAGCTAGGGTTTCAGTGGGGGTTCGTTCTCATATGATGGAGGGTGCCAAATGAGGCAGCCCTAGGAGTTAGTGCCTTTAAATAGAGCACTAATATTGGAATCTAGGGTTTTGAACCATAGTTGCCACCACGTCGTTACCAAGACCTTGCCTCGTCATTGTGAGTCACGAATGTGCAATTTTGGAATCAGGCTGCCACGTCGTGGTAATTCCATCACAACATCGTAGCCTAGGCAAAAATCCCAAAACTTAATAAAGGAAATTAAATTAAGAAGAACCATACCAAGAAATGTGTGTTAAAGAATAACATAAACGAACATTCACAAACATAATTGAAAGAGCAATAACATTGTTCATGTTCGTTCCTTTAACTAAAGGAACATGAATTTGTGTTCATGTTTGTTTATTTATTAAATAAATGAAAATAAACGAACTTCCCATTAAACGGTTCACGAATAGTTCGTTGAATGTTTGGTTCATTTACAACCATAAATATAGATAAATTTTTGAATAGTAAGAACAGACACAATTCGATATATAAAAGTTATTTTATTTGTCATGGTTTAAAGCACACAACGTTAAAAAAAAACTCATAAATTCTGAAACACCCTTACTTTTTAAAACCAATAAATATCATGGTTATAGAATTATTAAAACATATAATCATGATAAAAATAATGCTTTAAAGAAACATTTTCAAAAGGTATTAGAGTAAACAAATGTTTGGTGTTACAACAATAATATCACAAGCATAGTAAAAGGGAAAGGATTATACAACGCGTCAACTTTGCTAAATCTCCGATAACCCTTTACTATTAATTCTCTTCTATGCCTTGGCTTCCAAACCTAGGTACACAGTGTATTTAAACAAATACGTAAGTTAGAAGCCTTGTGAAATACATGGGTTTAAACTTAACAAAATAGAGTTGAACTTGCTTTTAAAATTGAACTTGAAACATAGTTTTAAATTTTTATTAGTACGAAATATACTTTCAAACTTTGTAAAATTTCATAATTCATAGAACAACTTTTAAAACATAACTAACGGAATCATAAAGAATATTATTGGTAATTATAACCCTAAAACATAAACTTTTCAAAT